AGGGAGGGCAGACTCGCCTATTCTAGGTGAGTTGCTATTTTTCTCATACTTCCCCCTAGTGAGTATAATGAAATTCAGTTAAACTGATTTTGCATATCACACAGCACCCAGAGCACTTCTGAATGACACAGTGAGAAAAAAACATTAGCATCCTCTCCACCTCATAGAATCCTCAAGAAAACATTTAGGGAGCCCAGTGTTAGTAACCATTTTATAAGGGTTATGGAGAACATCTTTAGATGGAGCAAGAAGATAACTGAAATCCAGAGGAGGGGTCTAATTTTTGTCACTGAGCCCACATCTTAAAAAGAAATCCTTGCTTACACCAATGTTCACTGCAGCGTTATTCACAACAGCCAACAGGTAGAAACATCTCAGTGTCCATCAACTGATGAATGGATAAACAAAATGTGGTATGACACACAATGGAATATTATTTAGCCATAAGGAGAAATGAAGTTCTGAATACATGCTATGATGTGGGTGAACCCTGAAAATATTATGCTGAGTGAAATAAGTCAATCACAAAAGGACAAATATTGTATGCCCCTACTTACATGAAATACTTAGAATAGGCAAATGCACAGAGACGAAAGTTTATTAGTGGTTACCTGGGGCTGGGGGAGGAGTTATTACCAAGACAAACCAAATCCGCTGCTGTCGAGTCCATTCCAACTCATAGTGACCCTACAGGACACAGTAGAACTGCCCCATAGCATTTCCAAGCAGCGGCTGGTAGATTTGAACTGTCGACCTTTTGGTCAGCAGCCGAGCTCCTAACCATGCGCCACCAGGGCGCCAGTTTCTGTCTAGAGGGACGAAAAACATCTGGAAATGAACAGTGGTGATGGTTGCACAACATGGTGAATGTAATTAATGTCACTGAACTGTGCACTTAAAAATGGTTAAAATAGCAAATGTGTTGTTATATATATTTTACCACAATTAAAAAGAAATGTGATCCTTGCAGCTGGACTGATATCCTGTGATAAGAAAACAATTTGAAAGAGAAGTTGAGCTGCCTCTGCTCAACAGTAACAGGAAACATTAAGGGAAGATTCTCCATTCTACACCAACATTTACATTCTTTTCCTCTGTGGATCCAAGTTCCATTACGTGACACTGGACCCAAACAAAGGGGGAGGGAGACCAGCGTGCTCCAGTTTGCTTAACTGAGTAACTTACCCCACCTGGGTTTAACTATTCATGTTCACACCTCACCACCACCACCCCATCCAATCCCCACCCCCAACGTGTTGAGCAAATGTTGTGAGGGAAGAGAGAAGCCCTGACAAGCAGCTGGGGAAGGACCAATATCAAAGAGCTCTGGCAACGAAACCAATTCCAGCCCTGTCAATGTGCCTTAACCAAGATTTGCAGAGTCCCTCCAACTGGTGACCCTGGCCTCCTCAAGTAAGAAAATAGCATGGCTTGCAGCCAAATCACTGCCAACACCTGGGATGGCCCCTCAGTGCCAAGCTCAGTAATGTATGAATTTGCACATCAGTTTAAACACTCGCCTGCATAGACGTTGAGGCAATCCCGTCTAGCCGAGAAGGCTTCAGGCCAGGAAAGGAGTAATGATGACCCATCAAAGTTGTACTGTCCCTCCAAAGATTGACCCTTATGCCATCAGAAGCATCTCTGGCTGGGACCTTGCTCAATGTAAAAAAGCTGGGAAACAGGAGAACTAACCCTAACAGAAAGGGAAGCATCTAAGCCATTCCTCTCCTCTTTTCCCAATCAGTCCTGAGGGACTGATTGCCTTTGGTTGGTGTGATTTAAGGAGGAAAGGGGGGTGAGCTTTGGGGATGAGCTGTTATCCTTGGACAGATCTGGGTCTGAATCTCGGCTTTAACATTTACTAGTTGTTGTCCTTGGCCAAATAACTTGTGTCTCAATTTCTTCATCCGTAAAATGGGAATAATAAGTCTGATTTCATATGTTATGGAGATTTGTAATAGAAAATGCTTGGCACTCAACATTCATGGTGGCTGTTCCTATTGTGAGCTGTGTGTCTCTCCCCCTCCCCCCCCACCCCCAACCTTTAAGCTTCTCTAGGTCAGGACCATGTTTTATTTGTCTTTAAGCCCCCAGCACATAGTTGATCCCTAATAAATATTTGCTGAATGGATAGCTACAAGAATAATCTCCTATCCCTTAACTGTGCATCATCTAGTTGCAAGCTTGAGATGGAAGAATCTATAAAGAGCTTTTCCCACAGAGCCTTTGCAGAATTAAACCAGCTTCCTCTCCTGAGTTGCTTCTCTGGAGAACAGAGCTTCAAGGCCTTGTCAGATGCAGGGATTCTCAAGGGAGAGGAGCTACCTGGAAAGTATTTTGCATAACAATATGCCCACAGATTTTTCACTGAGCATTTTACTCAACTCCCAGTAGATTCATTAAACAGACAGCTTGGCACCAGCATATCATGCCTGTTTTCTACCCAATACAAACTGTACAGTAACTCGTGTTTGATTCACAATATTAATTTTTAAGCAACTGCATAAAAACAGAAAACAAAGAAAAGATGCTAGGTTAAGTTATTTTACTAAAAAACAGTATTAAGTGCCTCCTTCCCAACCTCCTTCCACTCTAATCGGGTGTGTTCCTGTTTGGTTGTTTTCCTTCACGCAAAGAGTTTGAATGGCAATAGATTCTTTTTGTCTATTAGAATGCTGTGCTCTCGGTCAATGCCCTCAGAGCGATGGTCCTGAATACGATAATGAGCTCACACTAGAATGTAAAGAATGCATTGCTTCCTTCTTCAAAAAGTTTTGCTAGGAAAAAAAATGTCAGCTCAACTAAACAGCGTGCTTAGTGACGAAGCTGATGTATGTTCTGGAGCAATCTCCTTATGAACAGATAACAGTTCAGAGGGCACCACCCCGGACCACACTCCGAGAGGGCTGCTCTAGGTTCCAGAACTCCCCATCTACCTGGGAGTGCACTAGATTGATGTTTATGTTGGACTTCTGAGGTTTTTTGGTAAAGCACCTCAATATTGAGGCCCCAGCATGACCTTTCTCATTCTGTGGGACCCGGGTGGGGCTCCATATGACTAGGGTTGACCAATCAGTGCTGTGAGTCTCTTGCACCACAAAGATGGTTCAGGGAGGTCATGACCCAGGGCCAGCCCATCAGCATAATTCCACCCCCTGGTTAGTTTTCAGATCAGGGATGGGTGGCCCAGAATCACCCAATCAGAATGACCTAATCAGAGTGAAGCATCCATGAGGCAAGAATCTGGCTATGAAATGGGGTAAAGGTAGAAAGAGCAGAACTGAGATATGGACAGAGAGAGAGACTGGATTCTGAGTATGTCACTGGAGCCTCTGGATCAAGCCATGCCTGAAGCAGGCGGGACTCACCCCTAGAACTTTTCAGTTACATGAACTAATAAACTTCCCTTTTGCTTAGACAAGTCTGTGAGCTTTCAAACACATGCAACCAAAAAGTCTGAAGTTTACAGTTCTGCAATCCACACGTGCTGGTCCTAAAGAAACAAATCTGAAAAGCAAAAGACAAGGAGTCAGAAGAGCTGCCACTATATAGAACCAGAGGCAGGTTACGGAGACTTTCCACACCTGTGTTTCTTCCTCTGTCACGTGAGTAACATTGGCCTCCCCCACCACCACCTCTCAGGTGATTGTGAGACTCGTATAAGAAGATACAGAGGAAGTCACTCTGGAAACATATGAAAAAGCACTGTACAAACAAGAACGAAAGAAATATTATGATTAGCACAGCACCTTCCTCATTCAAACTTCACATTTCTGGTACCCACAGCCATCCAGAATCTAGAAAAAAATTTAAAAGGCTTTCAGCAACAGATTGTTTTCACCAAATCCTATACTCTGTACTACAGAAGAGGAAGTACCTTCTGCAGGCCAGAAACTATGTGGAAAGTGAGAGAGCAGACTGGCAGGAGCCGGCCAGACTCCAGAGGCAGCCAGAAGCTTAGTTTTGTGGGCTGAACACCAATGTGCACTGAGGGTCATTCCTTAGGCCCACCCAGGATGTTTTTTCCCCGTTGCACACATCGTCCCATCCACTCGAGCTTATGAATCATGAAAGAAAAATGATTTAGAAATTACATTCTCAACGGCTATTTTGCAATGCTGAGGTTGCTGCCCTAATAATAATGTTCTCCAGTAAACAGGGTTTTGTTTGTTTTACTGTTTTTATAGTAAAACCAACATAACAAATAAACTTTACATAAAAAGACTAACTTGTTTTACAAATGCTGAATTTTTCCAAAAACCACTTCTAATAGATACAAGCAGATGGCAGTCAGGGGACAAGTCGAGAGGTGGCGGCAGAGCACTAATGCCACCCCTGACACTGAGCTGCTTTCTGTCAATGGTGGTATTAACAGATTCTGTTTTGATGGTAAAATAACTAGTTTTGGAGTTTCACAGAATGTGCCTGGAAGCAACTTTGTTCTTCACAGTTCCTGCCTTAGAGGAGCTGAGTCCTGGGGGAAAGGGGTGGGAGGACAGAGCAGACAACTTGTTTTATTAACAGTTCCCATGTACTGAGTGTCAGCTCATGCCAGGCTCTTCATGCACACGACTGGCCAACACTCACCAGGCTGCACTGCCAATGGGCCATGGCTCCTCCGAAGCAAGGAACCCGCGGACCCTCCAGCCCTGCTCCTGTGGACAGCCTGCATCCAGGCAGAGTGGGCTGGCCCTGCACTTCCCGTCTCCACAGGGAAGCAGCCCAGGCAGGGCCTGTCTGTGGCAGCTCCACAAATATCGCTATTCTCTGTTCCTGCTTCACCATCTTACAAAACAAGCTGGCCCTTCCTTGTTATCTGGTGATCTTCAATTCTGGCAGAGAAAGTAAAGGTTGGCCTCAGGTCCAAGACCTATTCTCCAATCTAGTCTTATCATTATTAAAGCTGGTACTTGGCACCCCACTGATCCATGGCTCACTCGGTGAAAAGGCAAAGGAGAAGAGTAGTGAAGGGTTTCCCTCAAACTTCTAATACTTACCAGTCTGGACAATGCTCTGGAACCAGCATAGATTATACCCACAGACAGCACCGAAGCAGGAAGCCACGTCAAAACAGCAGATCTGGAAAGAGGGGGAGAAGCCATATTATTTTGGTCACTTATGTACAAAAGACCTAGCTGGAAGGAGTTAACCCTTCAGATGCACCAAGTACAGCAACAGTGGTTGCCTAAAAATCACTGCCCAAGTTTGTTACAAAGCTGGGCATAGGCTTACCATTTGATCCAGCAACTGCATTCCTAGGTATTTATCCAAATGAGACGAGAATGTATGACATAAAAACCTGCACACGAATGTTTATAGCAGCTTTATTCATAATTGGAAAAATCAGAAGCAATCAAGATGTTATTCAATAGGTGAATGAATAAACTGTGGTACATCGATACAATGGAGTATTATGCAATAAAAAGAAATGAGCTATTGAGCCACGAAAAGACATGGAGGAAATTTAAATGCGTATTGCTAAGTGAAAGAAGCCAGTTCGAAAAAGCTACATACTGTATGATTCCACCTATATGACATTCTGGAAAAGGCAGAACTATAAAGGCAGTAAAAAGACCAGTACTTGCCAGCAGGTGGGGGAGGGGGGATGAATGGGTAGAGCGCGAGGCTTTTAGTGCAGTGAAACTACTCTGCATGATACTGTAATGGTGGACACATGACATTATGCATTTGTCAAAACTCATAGGGCTGTACAACACAAAGAGTGAACCCTACTGTATACTATGGACTCTAGTTAATAATAATGTATCAATACTGGGTCATCAGTTATACAAATGTATCACCAAAACGCAAGCTGCTCATAACAGGGGAGAAGGTATATGGGAAACCTCTGTACTTGCTGTACAACTTTTCTATAATCCTAAAACTGCTCTAAAAAACAGTCTATTAGAAAAAAAAAAAATCACCACCTGACTCGTTCAATGGGATGTGGTCTTTTTCAGTTCAGAGAGTGGTGGAGGCAGCAAACCATCTTCCTACAGCCTGTATTCTGCCCACCACCTACCGTTACCAAACCCACAGACAGAACATAAATGAGCTGGAAACTGAAAACGCCTTGCTGCAGGCTGGAAGACAGACCAGATGTGACTTTTTTTTTTTTTTTTTTTAAGGGTAGTGAACATTATTCTTTGGATTTTAAGTAGGCCAGAAGTTTTTAATCCATGCCAAATTATTAAAAATAAAAAGAGGCTATTTTACCCAGGTAATCTATCAAACAGCTCCATGGAACCACAAAAAAAGGAACCTCAATGTCTCAGGACAGAATAAAAAAAAAAAAGGAAAGAAAGAGTGCTAGAATGTCATTTGCTGACTTCTTCAAACATTAACCTGGCACTGCCGGAATACCAGTTCAGGCCATCTTCAAGGATTTCTGAGGGGCACTTTTTTTTTTATTCAATTGTGGTCACGCCAGGAACTGCTTTTTCACTACAGCTTAGAATGTTACACTCTTCAAGAAAAACAAAATCCCAGCTTCCATGCACAGTGCATATCACTGAGGTTGCAACGTGCTTCCCCCATCAATTACAAATACATCCTGTCCAACTAATTAGAGTTCCTAGAGTTATTCTAATAATTGATAGAAATAAATGAAACCATTCCAGCAGGATATATTATAATAATCCCAACTAACTCAATGAACTGCTCTCCTGGGATTGGTGCCTGCTCAAGAACTGCTCTTTGTTGATTTATTAGCGTGGGCTGGCAGTCCATCCATGACGAGACCTCCTCTGGAACAACTCCCAGGGGAATCTAGCATTAAAATGCTTCCAGAAATCTCTAGGAAGGACTTCAAACCTTACTTGCTGCATAGTATAAATTCCTTTAGCAAATACGTACTGCAACTTGCAAGGTGCTGAGAACACAAGAATTATTGTTAAGAGCAACATCAGGAGCTAACATTTATTGAGTACTTGCTGCAAACCAGGCAGTATGCTAAATGTTTTATATGTCTTATCTTTTTCAAACGTGCACAGTAATCTTATGAGGGAAGTATTGTTATTATCCCCATTGTGCAGAGGAGGAAACTGAATATAAAGTTTAAGTAATCTGCATGTGGTCAGAGCAGCTGGTAGATGGCAAAGCCAGAATTTGACTTCAGATCTGACTCCATAGCCTCAGTTTTTAACCACTCTTTTATACTTTGTTCTCAAAGACCTCATAATCTAATGGGAGACACACATAAATAGATAAGCTGCAAATATGACATGATTTTGCTCTGGCAGCAGACCAAGCAAATAATTACCTGAGAAATAGTCCCTGTTATCACTACTCCTGCTGCAAAAATAGATGTCTGAACCTACAACCAAAGGTGAACAGAGAAAAGAGAATGCTATCCTCCATCCTAATGGGTCAAGAGTAACATCAGCCAGTTGCTACTCTTCTGGGAAAAGGCCTTCATGTTAGACATCAATGGAGACAGAGTTCAACCCATGGCCTGTTGTATACCAGAAGGAAGTCCAAAGCACACACCACAGGCAGAGCACTGCTGACAAAGGAGGGGGTGCACTGGGTAGAATAACAGCTGGCCTCGCTGAGGCAGGCCCACTACTCTGGAATGCAAGGTCACTGAGGCCCCAAATATTTGTACTCCATTCCATCTTAAAATAAACAAGGAAAACTCCTGCTGAGTTATGTACTCTATAAGACATCAGTATCTGAGTGGCCATGGAAATGAGGAAAAGAAAACATTCCTAGGGAACATCTTGTATTTTAACCCTTCTACCCTAAAATTCAAAGAAAGAACTTTAACCTAGAAAAAACATATACAGGTCTGGTTGGATCAGTGAGATGTCTGGAAAATGCTAGAAGGCAGCTAGCTGTGTGAGCATATGGCTCCAACGTGGGACTTTCGGCTGGGCACACGGGCACTGGTGCTTGTGTCCTCCCCAGTCACGTCGCTCAGGGCCCACCCTCAAGGTGGATGGAGCCCAGGCCATATGTGCTAGTGGTGGACTTGAGACTCATGCATGAGAAGTAGTTGGCTGCAGAGCCCTTCCCTGGCCCTCTGGGCTCTTACCAGAGAGACGGCTGCATTCCTCCACCACACACTCACAGAAAACTACAGCTGCTATGAAGAAGAGTAAATAGGAGTCACTGAAAACACAGCTGCCAAAACAGGTGTGGGCAAGACAGGTGTCAAAGGTGAGTGGAAAAAGTAAAAATAATTCAAAATCTAAAAGGGGTTCTGAATTCATATTGTTTCAAAGTATCAAGTTCTCATTTTTAAGAATATACTCCACCCGAAAACCACAGAGTATATGTTAAGTGTAGCTTATGCAAAAAAAGATCTGAGGGAATACTAGTTAATAATCCATATGCAAAGAAACATCCTTGGCCTAGACCAAAAGCTTGGCAAATAAATGCAGAGTTACATGTCTTAAGATAAATAGAGCGAGTCCCTACTTTATGTCAATGAGCCCACCTGTCTAACAGTGTCAGATAAAAGAGCTTCTGCACGTATTATTAATGCCCCGTCTTAGTCATCTAGTGCCGCTATAACAGAAATATCACAAATGGATGGCTTTAACAAAGAGAAACTTATTCTCTCACAGTCTAGTAGACTACAAGTCCAAATTCAGGGCATCAGCTCCAGGGGAGGCTTTCTCCCTCTGTCGGCTCTGGAGGAAGGTCCTTGTCATCAATCTTCCCCTGGTCAAGGAGTTTCTCAGTGCAGGGACCCCAGGTCCAAAGGACGTGATCTGCTCCCAGTGCTGCTTTTTTGGTGGTATGAGGCTCCCATGTCTCTCTGCTCGCTTCTCTCTTTTATATCTCAAAAGAGATTGGCTCAAGACACTATCTAATCTTGTAGATCTCATCAACATAACTGCTGTTAATCCATCTCATTAACATCATAGTGATAGGATTTACAACACATAGGCAAATCACATCAGATGACAAAACAGTGGACAATCACACAGTACTGGGAATCATAACCTAGCCAAGTTGATAAGAGATTTTGGGGGGATACAATTCAATCCATGACAGCTCCCTAAAATAGACTTAAGTTTCATCAAAGTAGGAACCATGTGTGTTTTGCTCATATAAATATATGTAAAATTATTACACTGATAAATGTTACAAAGGAGACTGGCTAAATGACTATGCTATACAATCTAACCTAACCAGTGAAGAGGATGAGGAAAGCTTCCCCAGAAAAGCAGTTTTGAGATGAAATTCAACGTTAACAATAAAAAAAAAAAAGGGGGTGTCTTAGGCTGGGTTCTCTAGAGAAGCAAAACCAGTAAAGCGTATAAATATATATAGGGAAGGATTTATATCAAGGAAACAGCTCACGTGATTGTAGAGGCTAGAATGTCCCAAGTCCGTGGACTGGGGTAGAGGCCTCTAACAAATCACGCAGCCACAGAAGCTGGCGAGCCCAAGATCAGCAGGTTGGACAGCAGGGCTCCTGCTCACAGGCTGTGAAGATCGATGAATTCCAAGATCGGCAGGCAAGACCGCAAGGTTTCTCCTGATTCATGTAGCTGCAGGGGCTGGTGAACCCAAGATCAGCAGGTCAAAGAGCAGGGCTCCACTCACAGGCTGTGAAGATCGGCGAATCTCAAGTTTGGCAGATAAGCTGACAGCTCAAGTCCCAAGAACCGGAGGTGAGATGACAAGAGGCAGCTGCAGGCTCCAGAGTGAGCAAAAAGCCAGAACATCTGCTTATATGTAGATGCAGGCCACACCCCCAAGGAAACTCCCTTTCATCTCATTGGCTACTCACAGCATATTCAATCATGGGAGTGATCACATATAAACACTGAGAATCATGGCCTAGCCAAGTTGACACACAATCTTAACCATCAGAAGGGGATATAGGTGGCAAGGGCAGAACAGGAGAAGGGACACACATTCCAGACATAAATACAGCACACACAAAGGTCCTGTGACAGGAGGAAACTGGAGGTGGAAGAGTGTAGCATGAATAGACAGAAGGAAAAACACAGGGGTGGGAGGGGTGAGAAGGACAAATATAGGGGTTGAAAATATTGCTTTGGCTACAGAATGGAAGATAGGTTGAAATGAGGTTAGGGGTGCAGTGGCAGGAGACCAGTTTG